TTTAATTGGATTACTTGATGGAATTGAGTAGAAGACCCAGAAATAAACCCACATACCTATGAACACCTGATTTTTGACAAAGATGCCAAAACTATACAATGGAAAAAAGATAGCATCTTCAACAAATGGTGCTGGTTTAACTGTAGAAAAATGCAAATAGACCCATACTTATCACCCTGCACACAACTAAAGTCCAAGTGGATTAAAGACCTCAACATAAAACCAGACACACTAAACCTGTTAGAAGAAATAATGGGCAAGAGCCTTGAACTCACTGGCACAGAAGACATCTTCCTGAACAGAATACCACCAGCACAGGCTCTAAGATCAACAATCAATAAATGGGACCTCATGAATCTGAAAAACTTCTGTAAAGCAAAGGACACTGTCATCAGAACAAAATGACAGCCTACAGACTGGGAAAGGATTTTCACCAACCCTATATCTGACAGAAGGCTAATATCCAGAATACATAAAGAGCTCAAGAATTTAAACCGCTCCCCTGTTCAATTTTTACAGATATTCTTGCATAAATCCAGTTCTCTCTTTTGGCACATTCAAAACTGAAAACTAAAACCATTTCAATGTACCTGCAAAGCCACAGTCTACGCCTTCAACTGACAAGGACTCCTAAAACACAATCAACATAACATGACTCACACCTTGCGAAATAGACGTTACTTTAAGAGTGGGTGAGCAAGCCCGCTTTCCGTTGGTGGAACAAAATAACTGAAGCTGGGCAATGCATGGCAAGGTTTGTCTGAGTCACTTTTGTCACTGGCAATGCGGTGACCTCCATGGCTTAACCTTTGTCATAGTCCTATGTCACATCTTGGTTGGATTGTGCTCCTCAAAGAAAGATCACAGGATAAGAAGCGAGAGCAGATTTGTCTCCTTTCACAGCCTTCAGTTCTTGCTACATGGGCTCCCTCTAGATGTAACCTAATTGACTTGCAGTAGGCACCATCGTTAGTGTGTGTGTGCGTTGCAGTGAATGAGCATAAAGAGACCAAATAAAAACCTTTTTCACCACTCTCCCTTACTACCCTGAGACAGTTCTCTCACTGACACACAAGTATATCATTTCAGCTAGGCTGTGCTGGCCGGTGAGCTCCAAGAATATGCTTGTGTCTCACTGTCCCCCAATGCTGGGCCTACAAGCATACACATGATTGGTGCCAAGGTCCTCAGGCCTGCACAGCAAGAGCTCTTAGTTATCTCCCTTGCTCCAGGTCCTATCTCCTAGAGATTCTATTCATTCCCAGTACATCTACCTGACTGGGACAAGCTCCCAGTACAAGGCCCTTTGGGGAGGTCCATATTCAAATCATGACAGTGACAGAACTTGCCACCCCAGGCAAGCCAATTTGACAGAAGGATCAGTCCTTGTTAAAGGCACTTGACCTTGACGACAGCAGGTACAAGGACACCTGACCTCTCTTCCTGAAATCTGAAGAAGATAAGGGTGGTCTTCTCACTGAGGAGAGGTCAGCCTTGGGTACTCAGCGTTCTTCTATCCTACTGTTCCTCTTGGCTCATGTCATATGAAAGCATTTGGGTTTTCCAAGTAGCCAGGTGCCCCCAACACCCTTCCCAGTTGTATCTGACTAAGCCCCATGGAAACCACCATGTAACTAGAGTCCTATTGAATGGCACGTCCCTCCTCTTCTCTCTCTCTCTTTTTTAATAATCAGATTTGTTAGGGAAATCATGTTCTTTGTCTAGTGATGCATCCTACACTGTTTAGATATGGCTGGCTGCTTCTTCCTCCACATGCTCACCTGGAGACATGGCTGGGAGCAGGTACATTGGTAGCAACGTGCATGCATGGCTGGTCCCAGGACATAAGCCGTTATATCTCTAGCTCAGTGCAATGCACACCTTTACAAAGGAGGCTCTGTCAGCCCCAAGGGCAGCACATCCACAGGGGACTAATGACAAGGCCCAAATGGCTCTTGGTGATATTCCAGGTTCATCTTTTGTTCTGAGCATTTTAGATGGGATCGTCCATAAAGAAAAACTTCCCAAGGTTGGAGAGATGGCTCAGTGGTTAGGAGCACCGGCTGTTCTTCCAGAAGACCCAGGTTCAATTCCCAGTACCCACAAGGCAGCTCACAGCTGTCTGTAACTCCAGTTCTAGGGGATCCAATACGCTCACACAGACATGCAGGCAGGTAAAAACACCAACACACATGAAATAAAATAATTATTACTTTTTGTTTGTTTTTTTCAAGACAGGGTTTCTTTGTATAGCTTTCACTGTTGTAGAACTAGCTTTATAGACCAGGATGGACTTGAACTCACAGAGATCCACCTGCCTCTGCCTCCTGAGTGCTGGGATTAAAGGCATGCACCACCAACACTTGGCTAAAATAAATTAAAAAAATTTAAGTTGAATAAAAGAAAAGAAAGACTGATATTTAAAAAAAGAAAACCTTTCGTCAAAAAAACATGTATTTGTCCTGAAATCTATTTCTTATGGGAAGGGGACCATAGATGTATAATTCTTTCCCTCCACACCTCTCAGTATGTACTGAGGCTCCAGTAGCTTTAGAGGTAATCAGTGAAACAGTGAGGGACTTAGGATTTTTAGCATCACCTTGCATTTCAATTGTCTTAAGTCCCTGAGCTCTGAGTTTGTGGATGAGCATCTCTTGCAGTGGGCTCTGCATCCTGAGTCAGGATCATTAGTCTACAGAACTTCTTTTACTGTGGATACAAGGGGCCCAGAACAGTCATCTAGGACTTCCCCGACCCATGAGCATGCTATACATCCGGCCACAGTTGGCCACACTGCTACCACTGGGCCTGTCTGTAGACAATACTAAGATATCTGAGGAGCTTAAGAAACAGTCAGGCTTATTTCAAAATCAGAATATCAAAGTCCATTTTTCACATAACTGCTTTCATATTTTCTCAATGGTTGAAATCTTAGAACTTCCTAGATGGGATCTTTTGAGCAAGAAAGCGAATGCTGTGAAGCAACTTCTTCACATAGACATGCTTTCTTGCTGTTCTTGTTCACTATCTGTGGCTCCAGCAGAAGTGGGAAACACACATATATCCTTACTCAGTGTGAGCAAGGCACGAAGAAAGAAGGCAGCGCGTGCCTTTTCTATCCCCGAGCGCTTCTCAGTGTAGGGGTCCCCGGCACACTGGGATGTGGCAGGGAAGGGGTCTTTGATGTACCTCACTAGGGGCTACTTACATCGTCAACAGCTTGGACTACTTCTCCAGGGATGGCGCTGCAGAGATAAGACAGTTGTTAAAACTAAAAGCACCATCGCGTGTTACTGCTCGCTGATACTCAAAGGCACTGGCAAAATCCCTTTATGCCTGCTACTCTGGATTCTTTCCTCCTCTATGCTGTTCCCAAACTCTGCCACGCGCCCTGTTTTCTCCGTCTTTACTTTGTGTTTCGTAGTCCCACCTCCTGCACGTGTTCTGAGAGTGGGTCAGCTGTGGGATCCATGCAACATGTGACTCTCCCCTACACGATTGCCAGTCAGTGTGCTAGGACGAGAGTGATAGAAAAGCAATGGCAGACGTGTGCCTGCAGGAGCTCCAAGGCCTGCAGGAATTAGAAACCTGAAAAAGAGCAATGCACTTCAAAATAAAAATTAAAGGAGAAGAAGCAACAAGAGTGTCAATGAAGGTTCTGCCACCTCAGAGGAGCCTTTGAGGGAGATGAGCAGTTTAGTGAATGAATATCCCGTCAAACTGGAAATGTCTGCATCTGAACTATTCGGCACCCCACCCGGAGAATCCATTTCTGATGGCCTCTGTTTTCACTCATTTAGCCCAAGTATGGGGGTGTATAACCACTATACCTTACAGATGGGAATAGATTAACAGTGTAAGAGAAGCAAGCCAAGGATCCGAAAGAAATGCTCATTGCTCTTCAGAACAACTAAGTCTCACAGGACACTGTGAGACTGTTCTCTAGCCGTAGCTTTGCACAAATGACCACGGCTGCTGGTGTGAAAACATCTTATGTACGACGGCCAGCAGAACGGAACACTTAAAGATTTGAAAAGAAAATATCTCTGCCACTTACCAGAAACATAGGCAATATTTGGGTCCTGGCAATATGGCCCAGTAGTTAAGAGTGCTTCAATATTTGAGTCTGGATTGTAGCACTCCTAACAAGGCAGGCATGGTCTTACACATACATATAACGTGTTGAGGTGGAGCTAGAAAGACTAGTAGAGTTTACAGGCAGCTAATCTAGATGAAAAATTCAAGCTCCAGGTTCAGGGAGAAACACTGCCTCAGAAGAATTAGGTAAAGAATGATAGAAGAGGTTAATAGGCAGCTTCCTCTAGCCTGTATGTATGCACCTATAAACAAACATGTATGCATATACCACATACACATACCAAACTCATGTAAACACAAAATGGACAGAGATGGTATATGTCCTACTAGGAATGTGTAACATAAAGAGGGGCATAAACGGGGCTGTTCTGGGATGGGTTAATAGGACCGAAAGCATGGAGTGGGCCAAGAAGTCAATACCCATTGCAAATCCCAAAGACACCAGCCTAGAGTAGTGTGGGGGAGGTAGAGATGAGAGGATGGGGCAGACATGAAAGGAAGGAGGCAGAGGCAGGGGGTCGGGGTCTCCTTAGGAGCATGGGACATGTCCGGCCGACATTCCTTAGCCTTGATGAGAGGTCTCGGGAGGAAGAAAGGATGAAGAAATGACCCTTTGCTATGACCTGAAGGGGAAGGCTAGGTGAGACCCTGCTACTTACACAGGACACAGGCTCAGCCCAATGGACGTGCTTACGCAGGTAGTCTGGCTACCTTCAAGTCTGATCCCGTTGGCCTTGCCCTACGTCCTAAAGGAGCACCACTCAAGAGACAGCTGAGGCACCAGGAGCTAGTCCAGGGTCCAGGGCTGGGAACACTGCAATTCCTGCCACTATTCTAAGGCTTTCCCTTCAAAAACATCCCCAACCCAGGCTGTACACAGTCAGAATATGAAAGTAAATTACCAGCTCTGCGGAGATGAACGATCCAACTCTCTATCAAAGGACAAAGGGGGACGAATTCGACAGTGGACTCGAATGTTTCCTTTCAGCTCCTACAACAATAAAGAGCTTTCAACCACTGATAACATAGAAGCCAGCTCGGCAGCAGACCTGCCCTGACCTCTGAAATTTCCCCACAGGGCAGCCAGCTCAGTGCGACTCTGGTTTTTTATTCAACTTTTAACAGATTTTGTTCACTAAGTGGCAACAACCAAACAACAAAAAAATCCATTTCCTGGTACCCTGAGCTAAATCTCTCAGGCATTTCAGAAGGAATTTCAATAATTTGGCTTGTGGCTTGTTATCCTGACCCTTCCTGGGGTCATCCAGATGATGTCATGGTGACTAACTGCCTAGAGGAGAACAAAGAGTGAAAGTGAGTCGTGCACACAGAGAGGGAAAGTCTCCTCTAGGGTCGGAGCAGATGAATGGAGGATCCATCTTGTTTTGTGGATACTGTCAGCACAGGATTTATGCTGCTCAGTCCACACCTGTGTCCCAGACCTGGGTGACAAACCCTCTCCGGTGCCTTGAAGAAGCCCATCCATCTTCTACCAGGGTGCCTGAAAGCATCTTGATCTCACCTAAGACACTACCGCACACTCACTCCGCTCAGCCCCACCGCTGTCCGGAGATGGCTGAAGCCTGTATGGTCTGGTTTCTTCTCTAACCCAGCAGGCCTCCATGCCACACGGCCTGTGGAGCCCTCTCTGGCATGCAGCTCTGACACACAGCGGACCTTGGCTCAAAACAATCAGTTAGGCCCCAAATATCTGGTAACTGGGTATCCTGTCCCCAAATGCCCCTGGATGCCTCCTCCTGACAGCCTTGGTCTTAGGAAAGCTTGAGGACTGGTAGCATACTAGTGAATGTGCAGGCGAACTGTGGGAGGGAAGGCTCACATGGGAAAGCAGCCCCAGAATGCTCTCACAAGAGAGGACTGGGATGTGGGCTAGTGAGAGAAACCGGAGGCAGGAGGTGGGACACAACAGGCCCACCTATGCGCACAGCATTGGTGCTGGCCTTAGAGACAGGCCCTTTGCCACTCCTGTGGATGAGATCTTTGCCATCCTTCAAAGGGGGTAGGGAAGATGGGGATGTCAGCATTTAGGCAGATGAGTCTAGCAGCCAAGATGCTACAACCAAGGCTGAAACTGTTGCCTGCATTTGTCTGGAAACCATCCAGGTGGCCTAGTAATACCAACAGCTATTCAAACATGGACACAGCTTTCAGGACCTGTCTGGGCTCAGGGTACATCACTGGTGTGGGGACCCTACATTCTTCAGCATCTATCACCCACACCTTTCTGGCTTTATTATTATTATTATTATTATTATTATTATTATTATTATTATTATTATTATTATTTTTAATCTAAAGCAGGCTCAGCCTATCATCAACACTACTTGTTAAAACTCTTGGCCATTGATCCTTTTCCATTTTCTATTGGCTTCAGCTGTGGTAAGTTCACCTTTAACATACCAAAGGCACCCAGACAAATGAGGATACAAAGTCACAGTAGAGCCTAGTGGCTATTGTAAATACCGGGAAGAGACCTCCATGCGTGGCCAGGCTCCTGGAGGCAGAGTTCTCATCTCCTCCCATGAGCTTCCAGATGCTAAGGAGAGCAGCGGGTACACCCCCCCCCCCCCAGCAGTCAGCACATGTGGAACCTGCCTATTGTTTGTATGGCATGCAACACTTTCTCACGTGCCCGCAGTTGGGCACCGTGTATACGTCTGCTGCTTTAACACCTGCAAAGACGTGGGCGTGCTTTACTCTCATGAACTCTCAGTGGGTTCTCCAGGGATGGACACCTTCTTCCTTAAGAAACAACTATGCCGTGAAGATTAAGATGTTTTTGTGGCTTTTGTTTTGTTTCTGTTTTTGTTGTTGTTCTTTTGAGACAGGGTTTCTCTGTATAGCCCTTGCTGTCCTGGAACTCATTCTGTAGTCCAGGCTGGCCTCAAACCCAGAGACCCACCTGCCTGTGCCTCTCAAGGGCTGGGATTAAAGGCATGTGCCAACACTGCTGAAAACATTTTTCTAAAAAAAAAAAAAAAAAAAAAAACGGAGGGGGAGGGAATTCCCTGAATGCTTTAGCTGGTGCTTTTACACTACAAGCGTTCGGAAACTATCTCTAAGGTCAGTGTTCTGAGCACTGAAACAAGAAATCAAATGTGCTGAAGAACAGGTGCTTCTCATTGTTGCTAAAGTCTAGTGGAGCTGTGCGCCCAGAGACAGACACACAAGCTTTTGGAAATTAGCAACCAGGGTTCCAAGATACTAGGCAAAACACACTGATGGAAGCCATGTCTTTGAGAAGTGGGTTGGCCAAATGCACTGTAGGCCTTAGGCGCTCATGTTTGTGTGTGGAGGTCTGGTCTTCCAGGGCACTTAGGTCTTATGCCTTTCCGAAAGGCAAGAGATCCTTCAAGCCTTCTCTATGTTTGAAAAAGTGGTACAAGGTCTTGAGGGAGGAAGCTGCTCACAGGCTTCAGGGACCCCAAGGCTCTGTGTCGGGGAAACTTCTGGACTTCTTATAGCCTAAAAAATTCACCTCTTAATCACCTGTCCCACACCTCACATCACCTTAACCACCAGTCTTTGAGGTCTTGATGTGATCACAGTACCTATAGTGACCAAAGCTACCCCAATACTGTGGTGGACCTCTTCCTCTCCATTACTGCCTACTGTATGAGTGGCCAGTGGCTTCTGGAGGCTTGATCCTGACAGTCTGTGGCTCAACTCTGACATTCTCTGCCCTACCTAGGCTGACTCCTGCCCCCCCAGCATTCCTACAGGATTCTAGCCCTTTTGGTCGGCTCTCACTGGGCCGTGGCCCCACAATCATCCCTGGGCATGTTCTGAGCTGCCGGAGCGCCACGCTGGCGATGCAAGCACTCACCACCAGGCTGTTATGGAGGGCTCTTCTCCTCTGCTGCTCCAGGTGGTAGCGAGAAGCCAGTTCCTGCAAGCACTGCTGTAGACGTGTAGCCTCTGCCTGGCAAGCTGCAGGGACAATTCACCCCAGGTCACCTTCCAGTCCTCACGAGGAGACCCTGCAGTTCCCTATGCAAGCAGGACCTAAGTCACACGGAGGCTGTGGGCCACGGTGGGTTCTCCAACTGAGGTTCCAGGTGCTCCGTGCTTGTGGTAACTAAGGATTAAGGCCTGCCGAGAGTCAGCACCACCCCCACCCCAAACACAAACCCTCACATCAGAAACGACCTAGGATGCCCTCCTGGTGGCTTTCCCTTGTCACATCATGAACAGCCCCGCTGTGAATAGTGAATCACAGCAGCAGAGTTAGCACACACATCAGCACTTCCTAGGGAAATGCCATAGCTGCTCTACTGTCCATCCCCCCGCCCCCAGTTTGTTAGGATTTGTCCCTGCTCCTCCTGGGACAGGTGACTGACGCTCTTCTCATACAACCTGCAAGTGAAGACCATACACACAGGTCACGACTATACACATAGCACACACCACACTATACACACACCACACGCACTACCCCTGCACACAGACCACACATGCTCTACGTGTACTCATCACACAGAGCAGACACATGTACCACGCACATGAGCCTTTGTACCAGTGTACATGTATCACATGTAACCTCATCATACACACAACTACATACACATGAATATGCTATGAACCAAATGCACACACATAATATATGCATGCATACACCACACATGTGCACATGTATACACAACATACAAACATACATGCACATGCTCACACCTACAAAAACCCAGGAAGTTAGTAAACTGAACTGACCTCTACTATGGAGACTACAGTGAAATCCCAGGTCAACTGTTCTCTAAAAGAAATTACTGACCTAACCCCAAAGCAGTAAAAGGCTGTAAGTTTTGATGTACCTCCTTTAAAATATCAGCACGATGAGCAGCTTCCCTTAAGGACTTAGGTAAGGGTGGCCTGACACTGGAGAATAAATGGGACTTGTACACATGGTATTGTTGGAGTGGGATGAGCGGGAGCACCCACCACAGGTGTAAGCCCTGTTTACTCTAACAAGTTCACGCATGTTACACATCGGGCCAGCTACTAGCGGATTCCTGGAAAGGCCGGAACTGAACTGGTAGAACAGAACACTTCACTTCCTGTTTTGGAGGAGATCTGGGCCAGAAAGCTCGTGGCTCTGAATGTCAAAGTCAAGAACACGTTCCGTGGGTGTCAGAGGGGAAGAGGAGGCCTTGTAGTAAGGGGAGCTACAGGAGAAGTGGGCAGACCAAACACTGGGGGGGGGAGGCATTTGAGCACTGTGTGAACGGCACATTTATTATTGCCATCCCATTCTGCGTATGCCAGGAGTAGGAAGCAGCAAGGCTGGAATCCCAGGCTGGCCACTGTTCACAGAGGGTCTCACGAGCCCGTACAAGTGCATGCTCTCACCTTGCAGAGCCTCGCTGCTCAGCTGTGCCCTCTGCACAATAGCCATTACTTCAGAAAGGCAGTTCTGGTACTCCTCCTGACAGCTGCGCAAGAGCACCAGTGAGGAATTGCGAAACTCCTCGACATCCTGTCGAAGTTTCTGTGTGATGAGAACACAGTCAACACAACTGGTCATGCCACTATCAGCAGCCACTACAGTCCAACTATATAAATAATCACAGAAGCCCCGCTGAGCAAGAAGGTGGCCTACAGTCAGCGATCCTGCATCAGTCTGTTATGAATTCAAGGCATTGGAAGCAGTAGTTCTTTGTCAAACATGCAAGGTGAGTGCTTCCCACGGATGAGCCCAGGTTCCCTTCAGAAATCCCAAATCAACAGTTCTAGGGTGATTTGAGGGCAGCTCATGATTTCATATATTCCATATTTTAAGATTCTTAGGGAAGCCAGGCTCTGCGGCCAGTTTCTGTAGTGTGGACATGGATAGTTTTCTGATCCATTTAACATCCTGGTGATGGTGGCAGTATACTAGGGCTGGGTTAAGTGGAGCAAAACTCTGATAGGCTATCCAGACCAACTCCTGGAGGCTTCATTATGGTGAACTTATGCCAGTAAGAAG